AGCCAAACTAGAATCCATTTCAAAAATTCCTGTATGAAGAGTCCTTTGAGATGATCTTGTCTACTCCCATCATTTTACAGATGAGGAAACTGAGACTCAGAATGAGAGAGTGACTTGGCCAAGACCACCAAGCTAGGAAGTAGCTGTCTGGGATTCTGCCATGAGCTATTCTTTATTACAGCCTCCTCCTTTTCTGCGTCTCTGTCTTGGGGGAGCAAAGTGATGGAGTGGTGAGGGCCCTGGATTGGAGGCCATGTCTCAACACTCTGCTACTTACATCCTGGCTGGGTTCTTGGGAAAGTCAATTAACTTAGCTGTAATAAGATTTCGTCATCTAAATGAGGTTCTACTAGGGGATTTCTAACATCCATTCCATATCTCTATCCTCGTCGGTAAGTCAACAAGTATTTATTAAGTCCCTACCATGTGCCAGGCACTGTGCTAAGCACTGAGGACACAAAGAAAGGACTTTCTGTAGGGCATGGCACATAAGCCGGTAAGGCTTCAAAAACTAGGCATTCTCAGGCTCAGGTGAGAAGAGCAACCCTGGCCCAGAAGCAGCAGATGAATTCTGGGAAATAGTGGGCAGGCCAGTTTGGGTCAAACATGGAGTCTGTGTGACAGAGCGTGATGGGAAGTCAGCCTAGAGCAGTAGGTAGGAGCCAGACCATTAATGAATTTTAACGGACAATGTGAGAAGCTTGTGTTTTGTTCTAGAGACGGTTGAGAGCTACCAAAGGTCTTTGCCCTGGGGTATATCGGACCTGGGCTGTAGAAATATTGATTTGGTAGCTGTGTGGAGGATGAGTTGGAGAGGAGAGACTCAGGAAATTCTAGCTAGGAGGTTGTTGGAGTCCTCTAGGTGAAAGGGGTTGAGGGTTTGAGCTGCAGTAGTTGTCCTGTGAGCAGAGAAAAGGAAATAGGTGTTGAGAGATGTTGGAAAGGTGGAATCAACACTACTTAGACATGGCGGCATGAGAATGATGTGCTATGATGGTGCCCTCAACTAAAACAGGCAAGTGTGGCTGCGAGAGGAGTCAGTTTAGGGGAGACTATATGGAGTTCTGGTTTGGACATGTTGAGTTTGAGATGCCTATGGAAAAACCAGGTGAGGATATTTGGAAGACCAAAACTCAAAAGAGATAAGGGCTGGATCTATGGATCTGGGAGTCACCTATATGGAGATTATAATGAAACCCATGGGAGCTGATGAGATCACTGAGAGAAAAGATGTAGGAAGAGCAAAGAAGGCCAGGTCAGAATTTTTGTGGAATACCCATGGTTTGAGAGCAGGTCACAGATATCCAGCAAAGGAGAATTAGAAGGAGCAGATGGATAGGTGGGAGGAGAATCTGGAGAGATTTGTGTCATGAAAACCAGGAAAGTGAGAGTAGCCAGGAGGAGGGACATAACAGTGGGCAACGAGATTAAAAAGGGGGGCGGGGTAAGAAGTGAGAACAGGCCATCAGATTCAGCAGCTCCAAGATCATTGGTAAAGTTGGAATGAGCAGTTACAGTCGAATAACGCGGTCTTACTGCAAAAGGCTGAGAAATGGACCAGAGTTTAGGAAACAAAGGCAGTGAGTGTAGGTAGTTTTTGCTCATTTTTTTTTAACTGTGAAAGGAAACAAAGAGGGAAAATGAGATTCTGAGAGAAGATTTTTGTTTTGTTTTAAAGAATAAGGGTAGACCTGCTGGGTTTGTAGACAAAAGAGGAGCCAATATATGGGGAGAGATGGAAGATTAGAGAAGGCAGGGGAGGGTGTGGGGATGACTATAGGGGCAAAAAGGACCACAGGGTCCTTACTATAGAACCCCCACTAATTAGGGTGGTACACTTAGAGCTTGAAGGGACCTCAGAGGGCCAACTTCTTCATTTGCAGATGAGGAAACTGAGGCAGACAAGTGAAGAGGTCACCCAGGTAGCTTACAAGTCAAAGCTAAGATATGAGCCCAAATCCTCTGCTGCTCCATTCAGAGTTCTTTCTTTAGTAAAATTTAATTTTTCCCCACTTAACAAAAAACTCCTTTCTCTCCGTCCCACCTCCCCCAAGCATTAAAAAACAAAACAAGAAAAACAGAAGCCTTGTAACACATTTTCATAGTCAATTAAAACAAATCCCCACATTTTCCAACCAAAGAATATACCTGCGCTTTCTGCATTGCCGAGTGCAGCCTTGGTGCCCAGTCAAGAGGAGGGCGGGGAGCAGGTTTGCTCGTTGCATTCCTCAGGGTTCCAGCATCTCCTGAGCTGCTTGGCCCTCCAATGTTGTCATTGTTGTAATGATGTTTCTTTTGCTTTTACTCACTTTACTTTGTATCGGTTCGTACAGGTCTTCCCAGGAACCTCTAACCCCGTCCCTTTCATCATTTCTTATGGCACCATTGTATTCCATTAGATCATTAATCTGTTCAGGCATTCTCTAGTTGATTACCCCTGTGTTCTTTCAATAATCTCCCTCCCGGGGTCCTACTGACCCAAACTTGGGTCCTTCTAGAACCTCTGGGAGCCCTGTTTCCCATAACCCTTCTTCTGTGCCTCTTCCCTTCTCCTCTGCTTTGCTAGCATGTAGGTTACAGTTTAACCCTTTACACACATTATCTTGTTTCACCCTCACAACAACTCTGTGAAAAGTGCTATCATTATCCCCGTTTTAAAGGCAGGGAGACTAAGGCTGAGAGTCTGAGTCATACCCCCAGAATTATACAGCTAGCATCTAGGGTAGGAGACTAACTCAGGTCTTCCTCATTCCGAGGCAAACACTGTACCGCCTGGTTGCCTCATAAAAGGGGGATCTGTCATGCTTTGAATCCAGCCTTGAATCAAATGGAGTTGTCTTTTTTCTCCCAGGGAAAATTCCTTAATTAATTCCAAGGCCCCTCTACATAGCATGCTCATACAGGGGTGCTAGTGCATACGCATGAGTGTGTGTACACACACACACACACACACACACACACACACACACACACACCCCGAGTCTCAGTCTCAGGCAGAGCAAAATTTGTCTTCTGAAAGGAAGCTCTCCCTCATCTTCTCTCTACTTCCTGCTCATGCCTGCCATCTTACCCAGAGTGTGGTGGACTGACCTGGCTGGTTAAATGAGACTTTAGGGTCTCTTAGTGGAGTCCCTGGAGATATCTGTACTCCCATGCAGAGATTTCATTGGTGGCTTCCTTACTGTCTGAATTTCCACCCTGCCATGTCTCCAGCCCTATCCTCTCATCTGTCCACATATTCTCATTTCCATGACTAGGAGCTGGGCAGCCTTCATGCCTTCATACTCTCCCATACAGTAATTTTGCCCATGAAAGTAACTTTGATCAAGCATTGTGACCATCTACATATGGTAGGTAGACACTGTCTAGAAGATTTAGAGACTATTGACAAAGATCCCCAAATGGCCTTCCTAAGGCATGTGTTTGATGTCACTCCCCTACTCCAGAGCCTTCAGGAGCTCCCAAAGTTACCTCCCAAAGAAAATACGTGTTCTTCAGCCTGGCATTCAAAACCCTTTACAGTCTGGATAGAGAGGATATGTACAATGCTGTATCGCCCAGCTCCAACCCCATCCAATGCAGGCTCAATGTCCTGCCCAATAGAGCTATCCCAAAGAGGAATCACTTGCTTCCAGAAGTGCTGGGATTCATCTTAGAGGTCTTCAGGCAGAGAGTGGATGATGACTTATTGGGTATGTCATAACGGATCCCTTGGCTTGGATGAGGTGGAGTCCTTTCAGCTATTCAAATTCTGACATTCTGTGAGTCAGTGAGTTTTTATTAAGTACCTACTGTGTGTATACAGGAAAGAATCACGAGACTGGTGAAAGACCTGGAGTTCATTGTGGTCATCAAGGTTTGGTTGAAGGAATTGGGGAGGCTGAGCCAAGTGTGTGAAGGGCAATAACCTTTAAGAAGGATGAGGCTTGTCCTGTTTGAATTAGGAGCAGTGCGGGGGATGGGGGTGGGGGTGGAGGCTATAAAAAATTGGTCTGATCCAAGGCAGGACTTCACAACAGCTGGAGCTGTCCGAAATGTTATGGGCACCTGGGGAGGCAGTGAGCCCCTCATCGCTGGGTTGGTCTTCAAGCAGGGGATAGATGACCAATTGTGAGGGTCCAGGTTGGACTAGATGCCCTCAGAGATTCTGTGTGTGTGTGTGTGTGTGTGTGTGTGTGTGTGTGTGTTTGCATGCCTGTGTGTGTAATAGTGTAATAGTTTAACTTGGCATTAATAGCTGTACTGGATTCATCCACCTTCTACTTGGGCAAATCTTCTAGATACTTGTGGGCAAACACTGCCATTTTTATCTTTGTTTCCCCAGCACCTGGCACATAATAGGCACTTAATAAATGCTCATTCGATAGAAATGGATCTGGGCAATATGTCTTCCCCATAGCCTTACCTCTTCCTTCTCTTTAGAATGACTTGGAGTTCATTGGGCAACCTTGGTAGAGCTTCAGGGCTCCACATTAACTAATAATCATGGGCTCCTCCAGGACCATTGAGTAGAAGTTTCAGAGATGAATATAGGCTCATGATGTTAGGGAAAATATCCTAATGATTAGACCTGCCTCACAGTGGGATGAGCCACCTCAGGAGGTGACGGGTCCTTTCGCCTTCATCCTGAGCACTTCTGTTTTCTGTCACCAGCTGGGTGGCCAATGGATGAGGGCAATAGGATCACAGATGTAGACCTAGGAGGGGATCTCAGAAGCTGGCTCATCCAACCCCCTCATTTTACAGAGAAAGAATCTGAACCTGGGGAGGCTGTGACCTGCCCAAGATCATGTAGGAAGTAAGTGTCAGAGGTAGAGTATTGTAGGGGGAGCTCTTGGTCAGGTAAGGACCGGACTAACTGGCCCTTGGGCTCTCTTCCAGAGTGGGGGCTGTGTCACTGCCCCTGCAAGAGTAAGCAGAAGTTGGCTGTGACCTGGGGAGAAGTCTTGGGGCCTTAACGGGGTCCACCATCAACCTCAACCCCCATCCTTTTCCTCCAGATTCCAGAACACGAGGGCCGTTACTACGAATGTGACGTTCTCCCTTTCATGGAAATCGGGACCGTGGCTCACAAGTACTATCTCTTCAATATCCGGCTGCCGGTGAATGAAAAGAAGAAAATCAATGTCGGCATTGGGGAGATCAAGGACATCCGCTTGGTGGTGAGTGCGAATCAGGGGTCTCACTGCTGATGGGCCCTGCACACTTCCCATGAAACACCCTGAGTATGTGGTACTGGTTCTCAGAGCACTGGCCATCTCACTTAACTAACATCCCACTGGCCTCACTGGAAAAATGGGAATGATATTAGCTGCTGCCGGCTTCTCCAGGGGTCAGGAGCAGGGTGTGCAGAGGGTAGAGCGGTAGGTCTAGCATCAGGAAGGCATGAGGCAGCAGCATCAGGAAGACCCGAACCTTTGGCCTCTTGAGAAGCCATCTGCTTCCCAAGTTCAGAGTTCAGAGAGGAACAGACCCCCTTGAGCTCACCTTCTGTTTGGATAAGGAAGAGCCACCCCCAAATCTAAACCTGGTCAGCTCTCAACTGCTCCCTTCTCTGTCACCAATGGGCAAGTCAGTCTCATGTGCTCCGCTCGAGAAATGGGGTGGGGATCCTAGCCATGATTAGTGTACCTGGAAGGTAGTGAGTGTTAACTCTGCCTACAAACCGGCTTCTCCCCCTTCACCTTCCCCCCGATTTAATGGCAGAAAATCACACTTAGCCCTTACAGCCGCCAAGCTGATTTTGCCTTTTCCTGCTTCCCTCGCTTTATATCGCCTTCCATTACCTTGCATTTTTATATGTGTGTATATACATATGTACATATATATATATAATGTATATATATCTTGTATATATTTTCCCACATATGTATTTTGTGTAACCTCCTTGAAGGTGGGGACGGTCACATTTTTGTCTTTGGAAGGTGGCCCATAGTAGGTGCTCAGTAAAGAAATACGTGTTGTTTGCTTATATGACTTCTCCCTAGGGAATCCATCAAAACGGAGGCTTCACCAAGGTGTGGTTTGCCATGAAAACCTTCCTGACGCCCAGCATCTTCATCATCATGGTGTGGTACTGGCGACGGATCACCATGATGACGCGCCCTCCCGTCCTACTGGAGAAGTGAGTCATGACTCCCGTGGGGATAGCGGCCCCCTCCATCTCTCACCCTCCTATGCCCTTTGCAAACAGCCTCTGAGGGATCTGATTGGGGGCCGGGGTCTGCTCCCAGAAGGGAATTTCTCCTCTCTTTTTTCACATGGCTACCTGTGGGTTAGTGTGAGGGAGCAAGCAGAGTTTTGGCTTTAAGTCAGGATAGATCCGGATCAAAATCCCCACTCTGATGCCCTCCCTAGCTGTATGACCACCGGCAAGTCTCCCAATCACTCTGGCTCTCTGCCTTTTTAAATAAAGGGACTTCCTTGTCTGTCAGATGAGCCCAGTGATGGTGCCTACAGCATTTCCCTCAGAGCTGTTGTGACGCTCTAGTGAGATGATGTATATAGAGAACTATGTAAAAGCCTGTGGTTATTATTACCTGCCTTTTCCGTAGTCAGAGAGGAAGGTCCCCGAGAGCTGGGAGGACCGGGGAAGCTTCAAGGAGAAGGCAGCCCCTGACATGGGCCTGATGGGGCCAGATTGTGCAGAGCCTCAGACGCCTAGGGAGGGAGAGACTCGTGTATCTGTGTTTGATTTCCTGCAGTGGACAAGGCTTCCAGAGTGAGGCCAGTGGTTGGCATCAGGATCCCCGACCAAAGCCCCTCAGTTCCCCACTCTGCCAGCCAGTGGACAGCCCCTGCAGAAGGTGGCCAGCACCGAGGGTCCCCCAGAGGTGCAGTGAAGGGCTGGACCCTAGCTCAGTGACCCTCATCACCTCGCCAGCCGTTGGGTGACGCCTCTGGACAGGGTCCAGCTGGGGGCGATAGAGAGCCAAGAGGCTGCCGGTGGTGATCACGGTGGCGGTGTTGGCGTGTGCCTTATTGTGCACAAAGCACTTTCTCTCCACCCACGGTCTTGTGGCTTCCCCCACGTCCCCGGGTCCCTCGGCCCCCAGGAGCTCCTCATGCCTTCTGAAGCCCTCTGGCCTGGCACTTCCCATCTCTTTCTCCTCTCCAGAGTCATCTTTGCCCTGGGGATCTCCATGACTTTCATCAACCTCCCAGTGGAGTGGTTTTCCATTGGCTTCGACTGGACCTGGATGCTGCTCTTTGGGGACATCAGACAAGGGATTTTCTACGCCATGCTCCTCTCCTTCTGGATTATCTTCTGTGGTGAGCACATGATGGTAAGAGCACCAAGTGCAGCGGCCGGCCACAGAGGATTTCTGGTGGCCAGGCTTCCTCGTCTACACTGCCAGCCTTGTTTGGAGATTGCCTTGAACTAGAATTAGCCCCTTATTTAGCCCTAGGGCCTGGTAAATGGAAGGATGATGTGGTTCACCGCCATGAGAAGCAGTGGGAGAATGGACAGAGTCCTGCACTGGGGGTCAGAGGACCCGGGTTCAAAACCTGACCCTGAACCTGACCACCTATGTCACCCTAGGTGGGTCATTTCCCATCCCCAGGTCTCAGTTTCTTTATCTTCAAAATGTGGGAGCTGATAATAACAGCTATCATTTACTTTGACTTTAAAGTCAGATATTCTTATTGTTACTATAATTATCCTAATTTACAGATAAAGTAAACTGAGGCAGATAGAGGTGACACACAGCTAGTAAGTGTCTGAGGCCTGATTTGAACTCAGGTCTTCCTGAATCTAAGCCAGAGCTCTATGCATTGTTCTATCCAGCTGCTTGCTCTGATCCCTGGGATCCCTTTGGGATGGTCCTCATTCCCTCGGGTTGTTTTGAGAATGACTGGGAGACCTACTCCTTCCCTGGCCCACTGCCCTTATAGCCCTGCTCAGTCTTCAAAGAGGGGAGGTTGAGGCTTCTACCCATTGCTTCTTGTGCTGTGCTGATCAGGAGAGTGTAGCAGCCTCTCTTTGGCACGTGCCCAGGGCAGCACGGGCATGGATGATGGGGGTGAGAACAATAATAATCATTTTGTTAAAGGCAGTGTGGCTTACTGTCCAGAGAGCTGGTCCCAGAGTAGAGAAGCCCCGGGCTCAAGTCTTGCCCCTTCCACACACCAGCTGGTGACTCTGGCTAACCAGCTAACCTCCCAGGTCCCCAGGCAGCTCTGAGAGGCCGTAACTGCAGAGAAGGGGTCGTCCTTCATTCATGCAGGGAAGTTTCCTCAACCGATGAAATCATAGGCTGGGACCAAAAATAAAAGAGGATGTCCCAGCAGGGTCCTAGATTCCAGCTTAGAGGCCAGGGCTGGGACCCCTGCTCACAGTCTCCTGGAGGATCACTGCTGGAGGCAACAGCCTGGGTCCTCCATCAGATGGTAACGGGGAAAGGGAAAACTCTGCTCTTCACATCCCAGCTCAGCCACTGAATAGCTCTGTCACCTTGGGCAAGTATTTTCTCCTCTGAACAGTGAGGGAGCTGGAGCAGATTGCCCCTGGCTCAGAGGCCCCTTCCAAGGCTGAAATTCTAGGAGATGGAGGTGCGAGCCATGGAAAGAGGCCGGCCCAGGAACAGGGGAAAGGCTGAGGCGCATTCTTGACAGGAGGGGCAATGGGGAGTCCACCTCAGCCTCAGGCCGTGAGGGGTCTCCCTTTTTTCTTTTTTTCTTTTTCTATCTCTTCAGTCTCATTCCCCTCTGTTTTCTCTCCCTCTCCCCTACTTTCCGTCTCTCTCCTCCTGCCTCCATGTTCTGCCTTTCCCTTCCCTCCCCCCACCCCCTTTTCTTCCTCCTCTCTTATCTTTTCTCTCTCTTCTCCCCTTCTGCTCTCTCCTCTCCCTCCCTCCCTCCCTCTCTCTCTCTCTCCTTCTCCCCCCCCTCCCTCCCTCTCTCTCTCCCCCCCTCTCCCTCCTCTCTCTCTCTCTCTCTCTCTCTCTCTCCC